TCTATACACCTAGTAATAGCATTAAAAAAACATAATATATAATAATAATATCTATTATTACTATTACAACTAAACTATACATTTCATCCACAGCCCTAGTCCTTAGTAATCTGACTATGCTCTCCTGTTGCCTTGATTTAGGTATACTTTATGTTATGATCAATGACATGTTTTGTCATGGTTGACCCTACCAGCTGCTAAAGAGGGAGTTAACCACGAAAGTGGGAGGCGTTAACATTTTGCTATGGGACCCCATGATTCTTAGTTACACCCCACCAACCACTCCATCCAAAACGAAAAAGTATGGGGTCTAGGGAGACTTCCAGTTCAATTGCTCTCTAGCATGACATTAAAACCACCTACATAGGAGCTCAAGTGGCAGCATGAAGCAAAGTTAGATCATCACCTGAGATGCATAATCCATTCAACTTGCCTAAGCAGTGAACCAGTGTGTGGGTTGGCCCTGAGCTCTTCCCCTAGTCTTTTGGGATATCAGCAAACCCATGTATATTCAACATTTCCCTTCTACTACCTAATAGCATTTCCTTAAGTTATTTTGCTTGTTATTTTCTTTTTCATATCCCTATACGTTGAACTTTACGGACTCGTGTCTTTTTTCAACCTAACTATGTAATTAGCAGTTCTTTTGTCGATTTCAGATCTGCACATCACTAAATAGACTCATCTATAGCATCATGGCAACCGCCAGTGCAAACGTTTTTTAATTTCTGCAGTTGATTTGTCAATGACAGTTCCGTCTGAAACACCGAGAAAACAATCGGATATCTTATGACACAAGTCGGCTCACATCTGAATAGCATAAGGAGACGGAAGAGATTCACCTACCTCATTTGTGCTGCTGGTGGTCCACATCTTGTACAAATTTTTGAGATGATCCCCTTTTTGAAATGTAATCCCTTTTCCTCTAGTTTTTGGCATAAATCTGGCGGTGACTTTGTTTACTGTCCCCTGTATGAGAGGACTTTGTCAGACCCCGACTTTCCTCCACCTTTTTTTCACCCAGAGATCAGACTGAAACCTGCCGGACAAGTTAAGTTGGGAGGAATGTTGCAGTGTAACCGCAAACACAACACACCGAGAGGGGTTAACTGCAAACAAAGGGCTTGACCCTCATTCATTAGCACCTTACCTTTATCACATAAGACAGCTTTCAGCCTGTTAACCCATTCACCTTTAGGGGGCACCCCATGCCCCCCCCCCAAAAAGTGTACAAAATCCCTTACCAGACCCTTGATACGAACAGCAGCCTGACAGATCAGGAAAGGAGGGGGTGGGGGGCCGCATTAAACAACTCCCTCTTCCTGCATCATACCAGGCCATTTGTCATCAACATGGGGCAGGGCCCCCTATGTTGATGAGGACAAGGGCCTCTTCCCCACAACCCCAGCCTGGTGGCTGTGAGGGATCTGCAGGCAGGGGGGGCTTATCTGAATCTGGGTGCCCCCTATCATAAAGGGGGCACCCAGACACAGCACTCCCATTGCAGGTGAATGAGTAAGGGGTTGTTGTTACCTCTACTCATTTGCCAAATAAACATTAGGACAGTAAATAAACGCACCACACAGTATTGAAAAGCCCTTAAATAAAATAAACCTGCCACCTCGTCCACACTTAGTGAAAGTAAAATTAAAGTCTGGTGTTTTTTTTGGCATATATCTATTAATGGTAAGCAGCAGATACATGCTCCCGCTGCAGAAGTCCCGAGCGCTGTGAAGGAGGAAGTGTGGGTGGGCGCATGCACAGTCCAGAGCCTCGGAGGGTAGAGGAGGAGAGCAGCACAGAAGCTGAATGGATGCAGCCGGGAGCGTGCACGTCGGACAGACACCGTGGGATTCGAGGAGTCTGCGCTGGATCAGAGAACGGCACAAGCGCTGAAAGGACTTTAGAAAATGAGTGGAAGGAAGAAGCTGTACGGATCAAATGGCATCACATAAGGTAAGTCCTTATAGCAGCATGGGGGGGGGGGGGGGG